ACATTTTAAAAATGAGAGGGTCTAGCCGGATGGTGAATTTAAAATTGATGGATTTGATGAAATAATTCGATAAAAATTCACTGGAATTCTACATTGACACCGAATTGTATCGGAATCGTTCCGGAGCCCTGGATTTGATTATATAAGTGCAGAAACTGAAGAATTGCAACGATTGCTGTAATTCTTCGGCATTTTAACCCACGAAAATGTAAAGTAGAGCTCAGTACGTAATTCGTTTAGCTCACGTGATTGATAGTGGGATCGACGACGTGGATGTACCGCAGAGATGATATTTCACCTGAAGATAGAACTCTTTGTTCATCCAGGCTCATTAATTATCTAAGGCCCAACGAAGAAATTCAGAAATCCTGATTGACGATTTATCAATCTCACTGGGGAAACTTACATAAAGCATTCTAAAAGTGCCCTCATTTGACTTCCGGAGGAACGGAGAACATGAATGGATAATGATTCATTTCATTTGTGTACCTTCGCAAGTAATTATCTGTGATTTGCTTCCTCCGTCGTTAATCGTTCAACCAATTTCAATCAATGCCAATTAATTCACCAACTTGTTAGCGAAAGTGACTTTTTGAGAAGAGTATGGACATTCGACTTAATGAATTCCGGAGATTCACTAGAAAATTTAATTTTCATTTCAAATTAAACTTTACTGGGATTATGAGAAAATTACAATTTAAATTTCAATTGAAAATTAATCATTTCTAGAATGACAAAGTGACACAATATTTCTATAGAATTCTTCAAATTGTTCTTCAGGTTCATCTGACATCGAAAAAAAAAGTCTAAATGCCGGAAAATTCAGGCTATAATTTCCCGGAATTTTCAATGTACTGGATCAATTATCATTTGAGATAAAAAACTGGATTTTTCAAAATAAATAAGAACTTTAAGGATCTTTAATTGAAATTGAAATCCGTAATTGAAATCCGTACGAAAGAAGCCATGAATATGGGGTCCTCGCAGTTGGGGTAATGAAGTAATTTGTCATAATTTATTTACTTAGCTCTGTTTGCACGGTTTCGTAATTGCTGTATCAACTCTATCTGTTATGTCATACTAGGGAACATGATTTCCAGTCGATTACATAGTGCTCTCGTTACCACACAATGTTCAATGCCTACTCTTGCCTGTTATGTCCTTCAATCTTCATCCCCTGGGTGTCGGATCGATGGGAAAATAAAATGTAACGAATTTAAAATTATAATGAATTATGAATCCTTCAGTTCCACTCCAGAACGTGGAATTTATTTTCATATTTATTTTTGTTTATTCATATTTTCACTGAGGACTCATAACATTCCTTGAATTCCGCCGAAATTCCGAGCTTTTATGACCATTTAAAAAGTGTTTGACATGAAATTGTTGTGACTCGCCCGGGGTTTCATAAAAACTGATGACATTATTTATCGATATTGATAATATTATGGGGTGCTGGAGCGAATGGAGGTGAATGCTCAGACCAATTCTGGTAGAACAGAAATTTGATACTTTCAGCAAAAAAGTTTCGCGAGGAAGCAACTTTTATTTCTTACGCACATACTAGCGAACATTCGAGGATTTAGGTTGATATGCGGAATCAAGCCATTTGGAAATGGTGATACCATTCCTGCTTATTCAAGCAGATTTGGATGAGCAGAAATCCGGAAGTTTCGGAGTTACTGGAATATTCTCGAAATTCAAATAGTTATGCATGGAAAGAGGATGGATTTTACGCAGAAAATAACTGATGGAGTTATTCCACGAGAATCGTTCATTCATTCATTCCTTTCTAAGATCTTTCAAGGTTTCTTCAGTCAAGTTATATTTTTGTTTGTCGTTATACAGAGGATAATGAATGCCATTTTATTGTAATTTTTTTTTAACATCTTCCCTTCTGATATTAAATTTTCACATAAATCTACAGGGAATTCCTGGGAAACCTTTGCAGTTCCACGTAGCTCATAGATTGTGCTCTTTTGTAAATCAAAAAGTAGAGAATAACTCAAATTAGAAACTCATTATTTGGATGGAAAACTTCTTCAATCGACTTCATTGAAACTTCTCAGTGAAATTTGTTATGAAATGAGTTGTGAAAAAATTTACAAGTGCCAGATTGCAGTCAACTTACGGTTATTTTCAGATCCGAAGGAATAATGATTGATTTTCCTTAGAGAGTTGATAACTTCCGGCACTCGAGATTCAATCATAAATCAGGTTCAATGTTGCAGTAAAAATTTTTCACATGATATCAAGTTTATCAAAACGTAAAATCTCAGAATTTCCCGCAAAATCTTGCATTCCATATTGCTTCTCCTAAAATAGAATTCAATATTACTGTTCTTAAAATTAAAAAAATACTCTTACCGAAAGTCTCTGGGGTTTCTAGTAATTTTCGGGTAGAAGCGAGACGGAAATTTACAGCTCCATTTAATTTTTCCAGGAATGAAAAACTTTCAGATATTACAGAGAAGACATTAAGAAATGCTCGGTAATCAATCTTTCCCGGAAATTTTCCTTGCCCGCCGATCGAAAGACTTTGAATTTTTCCTTGGACTCTAGTGCAATTCTCCGTGACCGGTAACGAAAGCTCATACTCAATTTTTCTTGGAATTCATTGGTACCGCGAATTGGCTTTCAATCAATGAAAAAGACTTTGTCGTCGGAAAATTCTCAATTCCTGAGCAAATGGGATTTTTTTTTAAACCGCACTCAATCGAAAGTCCGAAGCAATCCTTTCCCAATAATCGTGCCGATAGTAGTGTGAATAGCTGCGAAGCCAACAAGGTGTAATCCTTTAATCGCTAATAGTGAAACCATGAATTAAATGAGTGTTGCACTAGCGGATTCATACGCCTCAAGTCCTGGGATTAATTAGCAGATCGTAGAATTTTTTTCCAATCATTTAATCGTGAGAGTCAATCCTACAGGAAATAATCGACAAAATTCCAATAATCCGGAAGGAAAGCAACAAGATATTAATTTTTTCAGTGATAATTAATTTCTTGAATGAAACAATTGATCAAATGAAACAATTAATCATTCGACGATTATTTTCTCAAATGATATGAATTTGATGGAATTTTTCTAGAACAGAATATTTTGATTTGAATATAGAAATCGATAAAAGTCTGAAGTCTAATCTCAGTAATTGAATATTTACAATTGCATCCAAAAATTTCTATACAAAAATATAATTTTACGTAATGAGACGATAAAGTTGTGCAATCTTCTCCACGAATGACATAAAAAAATAAAAAGAATGCTTACACAAAATTTTGGAAAGATTTTACGAGGATTGCTATTTTAAAAGGGTGTCAATAAAAAATTGAAAGAATTTCTTAGAGATAGTGAAAAATTGTGTACTTGTTTTTTTTTTCTTTATGGATCATAAAGGGTCATTGTTCAATTCCTCGCGCGTTTTGTTGACGTGGACGACAAAAAAAAATCGTACTCTACCAGAAAAAAAATGGTGGGCGCGGACTATTGCCAGGATGGCGTCATACTCAAACCTATCTTGGAGTACTAAAATTTACTAGTTGGTCCAGTATTTTTTATCGTGCAGCACCCGAATTTTTATGGTCCTCATTGAACGTTCTTCACTGAGCACTGGAATTTTTTTCGCGATTGCACAAGAAATATTCTTAGAGTATCCCCTCGAACCCGGAGAGAAATACTTGAGAAAAATTTACCCTAACGTTCGATAATTGTAACGTACTGGCAATTCAGATATTTTTTTTAGTAATTCGAGTAAAAATGATAATGATTAAGTATTTGATGAAAATGCCTTAATTGGTATAATATTTTTTTCCTGGTAAATATTATCAAAATTTCTCTTCATATGCACTCATAGATTGCAATAAAATGGTGGAGCGAATAATTCGTTTCAACTGTTAGCTGACACGTATTCATATTATCGACCGATCTGAAGCCATAATGTAAAAAAATAGCTGAATTACGGAAAAATTCTCAGCAAGGTGACTTGACACGCAGGCAATTACGATTGAGGACGCAGAACGCGATGGACATTGCGTGCATAATTCACGGACGATTATTTAAACTTTATCGTTAAGTAGCAACCTTGCGATGGCAACATCGGCTTTAAATCCAAGTACAATCCAATGTTGAACGTTGAAGCATTTCTAACTTTCGAAATTACCACCGTGGGCTGTATAATGCATAGAGATTTCGGTAATGAGGTTGCTGATTACGGCATTGATTACAGTGATTGAACGCTGATGAGGAATTCAGGATTTTCATCGATAGTAATTAGATGAAATCTGGTGAAACTGGTGTGCAAAATTATCTTATACGCTGGGAGGGGATAAGATTTTATCAGAAATCGATTCATGATTTCCCCGATTTATGATTTATGAAAAAAAAAATTCTATTGAAAGCTCGGCGAATTCTTCCCAATGGAAAAATATCTGTTGATTTAAGAAATACAAAAAATGCAAAAAATTCAAGTAAATGTCACTTCTACATCGCAAATAATTAATTAATGTATGAAATGTATGAAATATTGCATAAAAGTTCCGCGTACTGAAAAGTTTTCGCCTGACAAACTGGAAACTATTTGTTATTGCAACGAAGCTATCGCTGATTACACCGATAATTATGAAGGTCTTATACAATGAATTATTCCAAGAGTGTGAGACACCCACATAGGAAAAATAGATATTCAGAAATATATTTCATCGCCCACATTGAAGATATATTCAAAATACAAGTTGGATATATTTATGATATAATTCCCGAAAACAACCTATACCACAGTTATAATTTTTGGATTATATCTTATTCGATGCGCGTGCATTGAGAAAAAAAAAGTCTTTCCTCAAGTAAATTTGTTGAAAATAAGAAAATACATTTGGCACGATTACATCTTATGGAAGTATTTCCCCTGCCTTCAACTGGTAGGAACCAAATATATTTGGCAAAAGAATGTTTTTTTTTTCAGTGTATGCGAACGGTAAAACGTAATGTTAAATTAAACTCACATGCGCCAAAATGGCTGGATAGTCCTGCGAGTACAGTAGAAGGGCTCCAACAAGATGTGCAGTTGAAAATGCAACGCCAGCAATGCATGCATATCTCAGACGTATGGGTAGGAGAGCATATGCCATATAAATGAAGAAACATACAGCCCATGCAGCCGCCAAGGGACCGCCAGTACGTAGTTGATCCAATCTCACCGTTGGTGCTCCACTAGGAAATGGATCCGAGTCCCTAGGCCTTTCACTCCCGTCAAATGTCTCTATCTCTTCATCATCGAGAGCTGGCAAATATGCCAGATGAACATTCAGGGCTATCTGCAGTCCGAGCAAGGTCACCAAAACTGCACCACTCACACCCGCCAACCAAACTTCATTCATCCCTGGCCTCGATATCGCTGCTACTAAAACTGAAATCCACACAAACAAATATTTCAGCCAAATTTTATTAAATCAACGCTATCATAGGTGATATGTCTGTGACGCATTGGATTTTTGGCCGAAAATAAATATATGCAATATATATGTGCTCAGATATATTCAGCGTATTGCGGATATATTATATTATATATACCATTTTTCATCCGGGTTAAAATCCGTTTGAATTTTCAATTGTATTATTCAGTCATTCCAGGGAATGGAATTTTAATTGGAAATGTTCACTGCCTTTTTTATTCATCATTGTAAAAAAAAATGAATAGGAAATACAATTGAATTTCTACTGGGTGGAAAGTGCAGGGAAGTAATCGCTGAATTTTGAACTTTCTCAATTATCAATTAATTTCCAGTGCTCTATGCACTCGAAAGTTGAGAATTACCTGACTATTCAAGAAATTAATTGATTCGTCAAGGAAGAGTTCTACAGAAATTTCATGTCACGTCGTTGTTAAAAATTTGAATCTTGTACAAGAAATTTCGAGTATAATTTTCTAACAGCGAAGCCAAGTTTTGCTTGATATTGATTTAACGTCGTCAAATGTTAAAGCGGTCATGCACGGATTTAACATCGTGGTGCTCATTTTATTCGCATTAGCCCCTACTATTAAGCAAATGTTGTTCCAATCGTAGGATTTTCTCCTCCAATTTTCATTTTCTTGGTATGTATGGCCAATTTTTTCTCTCATTTTTCGCTCAACTTGATTCAAAGGCGACTGGAATTATTTTACACGCCTCTTATAAGATGATAATTAAAGAGAAAGTTAATTGAGAAATGAGAGAACTACCTAAATGAGATTCTCGGGATGAAGAAGAATTTCCTGGAATTCTTCAATCTTGAATTGCCATTCGTTCAATTATATTGAAAGGTTCGGGGAATGCTCTGCATTCTCATTATCCCTTAAATTCTTCACGAAGGACTTTCCTCTAATTAATGACTCTCCTGCCGAAAAACCGCAAATTCATCCCCTATGATCTTGCAAGAATAAATCCCAAGAGAAAATTTCAACGGAAAAATGGAAGATTCATGAATAACAATTATATCGAATTTTCCAGAAGGAAATGGTGGTTAAAGCTAGAGAGTCAACAAATGTTAATTCTTATTCACTTTGAATGTTCAAAGGAAAGTCCAGGAAATTTGAAAGCTCAATTCATACGATTTTGAATACATCGGCAAACTTTTTGATCCATGATGTGCAAGGAAATTAAGCCAAAGGATAATGCACCCTTCAGAAAAATGGGAAAGCTCTTCTACAGGGAGTATCAATCTTAATCAGGGTTCTTTTTCATTGAACTATTACTAACGGATCGAGTAAGTCTCTAGGGTTCTTAGTACTACCTCTCGACTTTTCCTGGTCATTAGAAGCTCTCAACGATCCACTTCTCTACAGTTACGGTATTATTCCAGCCTTTAGTAATTGAGAAACGTTTGAAACTGACTCTAGCCGTGAAGGATTATTCGAGCTAATGAAATGATCCAGAAATAGTGCACCTACGTAGGCAGACAGTAGAGAGTGGATTCCTGTCAGTATTTTCTCCGCCAAAGTGAAGAGTTTCTGTGAGTATCTTTATTTTCTACCAGGAAATACACCACAAAGTGCTTCGTGGAAAATAACAGAACCTCTCGTTTAACTCATGCAATTTACAATAGAAGGGGAAAAACAACTATTTTATTGGTTTCCCTCGACGAAAACATTGTCTTTTCAACAACTTTATTGCAAAATGTGATAAACTCGGGAATATTGAATTTTATTGCCAACAGAAATGAACGAGTTGAGTCTATCCTTTTTATATCATTGGTTATGAGAAATTGAATTTTAACTCATTCAAGAATCTTTCACAATTTGACGTGGAGTACAGCATCTACTTAGTGGGTAATTCATGCACGTGAAGAAAAAAAAACGAGTTTTATCATTTTTCCGTGAATTTTAGGCTATTTTTTGCCATTTTCAACGTGCAATATTCTTCCTGCGGATAAAGATTTCAGTTTCAGAGAATGGTCTCTAATATTCATCTTTTATAAATCCTTTCATCCATATAATAGAATAAATAAATAATTCATTATATAAAGAGATAAATTTATTTACGAATAAATGTAATTCCCACCACTCTGGTTTGTATTAAATTTGAATTTTCTCTTTTTGACTCTCCCGCGAGTACATAAAATATTTGCACTTGAGATTTAAATTTCCCTTAGTTAGCAAATTTCCATTGCAAATTAATTATTCCTCTAAGTGTTCTGGTATTCTGGTAAAAGAGCTTAAAAGTGAAAAACAATCAATACTCATAACTTTGGAATATTGACTTGCGGAAGAAATATGGAAATATATCCAGGAAATTCTCCCATTGAATGCCTCGATATTTCTGTTAAAGTTTCTTTTTAATGCTTGAGTGAAGCCCAAAAGGTCAGGGTTTGGATGCATTAGTCCTTATCAACCCCCTGAGGCTGAATAGTCTCTACAATTGACTAGTGACTGATGGACCTATCAAGATCACCAATCACTTGTCCATTCTCACCTGCATAGATGGCGATGCAGGCCAACAGGGTGAGGGACAAGAATAGATTCTCGGATCTACGCAGAAGCCCGATGAAAGACAGATCACTATTGACCACAAGCCTCAGCACTAGGAGTCCAAGGGCAATCGTAAGACCAGTCAGGAGTCCTAGCACGTGTGTCATGTTGCTCTGGTTCATCCTGAGGAAGTACCTCTGATAAAGCATTTCCACCTGCCGAAATAATAATTACCTCAATTAATCATAATCAGATGAAAGGGAAAATTGTAAAATGCAATTCTTCATGGAGAAATCAATTACTATTCTCTGTGTATTGGTAACGTAATGGGTTTGCGTGACTTCGCCTTGGCCTCTGTTCTTGTCCATGGCCCAGGGGTTGGTTTATGGAATGGAAATGTGGCCAACCCGGCGACAGAATCGAATGAATGAAGAGCAGTTTTCCCAGCGTTTTCAATTAATTTTCGAGCTGCTTTGTCGTCTTTTCGGTTTATCCGTTTTGATGGATGAGACGGTGCAGAAAACGGGGAAATTCAGCAATTATTGTTGTACCCTCGAGAGAACTCGTTAAATATTTCGATGGGCTTGATTAAAGTATTTAGTAAAGTAGATTTTGTTTAGCGACTTCAGATTTAATCAGATTGTGAGATAATTCATGAATTTGTTTCCATCATTTGTTTCCATCATTTTCGTAGAAATTTATGGGAAAGTATGTGGAAGATTAATATTTCTCTTTAATTCGATGAGTTCTAGGCGGATGAAATCGAATTGTCGTCGAATGGCTAGTAGTTTTTTTTTGTGGAATATGCACGTGGGTAATCACAAATTTTATGGGGTACGCTCGAAAAACTGACGCGATATTTCCATTTGACGTCTCCCAACGGCATTTTTCGCTATTTTCGTGGTATTTTTTATGACATTTTTTTAATGAAAGGTAAATTCCAAATAGGAAGTCATAGAATTCAATGAGTTTATGACTAACATCTAGAATTATTTTTTATTTTATTTTTTATAGATGAATTTTCGTTTTGACGCGTATGAACTCGATAATTCGGAATATAGAGTAATGCATTGTGAATTATTAAATAAGATTTAATAAAATTATTCAAAAATTTTGGACAAACTCCAATAAGCGCTTGAAAGAATATTAATTATCATTTTACAATCGATTTGGAATTTTGGTTTGAATATTCCCCCAGCTCGAATGGAATCTAAAATTTTGAGAAGAATTTCGACGGGATATGGTAATCATTACCAGGTAATGGATACTTGACCGGAGTGGTGCAAACATGAGACTGAACACTTGAAATTCCTTTTGGACGTCCACTCAGCATGACAATAATTTTGAAAAAAAAAAAAAAACAATACAGGGAAATAGGGGAAAAACGCGATGTCAAGTGACTCGTTACTTTTCCCTGCCACTAGGTCATAAGTTTCTCGTTACGTCGTTGCCAGTGATAATTGGTGACAATTAATTTTAATTGATTGCCGATGTAGGGGACAAAAAAATCAGCCTTGCACTATTTTCAGATGTTTACATTGTATTTTTACTGGGTCTCTGTGCAATGCAGATAATTTCAGTTGTGGACTCGTGGAAGGTCACGTCGGGAGAATGAAATGCAAAATTTGACTGGTAAAACGTGCACCAGAGAAACTCAAGCGGCTCAGATTTTGTGGAGCATACTGTCAAGGGAATTAAGAGTTTCTGGGTGGAAATCGGAGAGAACCGAGTCTGATGGTTGCTGGAGAATTTCGTTAAGATCATCCATGGGAGCTTCTTGGAAGTTTAATGAGGGAAAGCTTTCGCTTTTATTAAAATTTAAACGAGGCCCTGGGTTTATAGGTGAAATTTTTGAGGTCATTCCGTGCTTTTTTAAACTTCTGCTGATTAAATAATGAGAGAATCATATGCGCACCAAGTCTAAAAATATTGTGAAAATTACTTAACCATTTAATTCCGCTGTATTATAAAAGAATTTCGCAATTTTCCTTCATTTCAGGTACCTCCATCTCGATTAATCCAAAAATTCTTTTGAATTAACCGAGAATAAAAAATCGAAAAAGTAATAATCTAGATCTATTTCAATGCGCCCTTAGTAAGAAGTCCGCAGATGTCAGGTCTTCGGTAAATAATTGAACATGTTTGCGCGATTGATTTCTGTTCAATTGACTCAGCTTATAAATTAGATTTTAATAATAAAAGGGTTTAATTGTAATTTCAGCGAACACAGAGAGAAATATTTCATTCAAAAAAATATAATTTCCATCTTGCAATTGTGCGAGAGTCAATAAAATTCCATGTAAAAGAATAAACTTGGGTGTTTAACAAAAAAATGTGGAAAATTCCGGCGAATTGTCAACATGCCAAATGGATTTCAAGGAAAGTGTATTTTTTTTTGCCTTTTTCGGATGAGACCCTTCAATCCCAGGGTGAAAGGTGTTTTAATGAATTGGCACATATCTCCACGACGAAATGGTAAGGCGTGTGATGTTGGGCCAACGCTGTGCCGTTCAACCCAACTGGATGCACTTATCCCAGGGCATATCGTCGACGTAAGTGGTACGTCATGCAAGCAAAGTTTCGAGGACTCGACATCATGCTCGGCTTCAGCTCATGCGACCAAAACTCCCCACCGACGAATCACGAGGTACAATCTAGCAGGATGTGACGAGGTCGGCAAGTACATAATCTAAAATACTGTCATGTCATGACTCATGAACATATGCTCTTCAATTTCGATTTAATTGAAAATTATAGTGCACCCACTGTCTGTGGCATTTATTGCAAAAATTACGAGGGAATTTTATGGGGAAAGAGGTGACCACTTGATACTATGACACGCGTCATTATATTTATGCAGTAATAAAACCGTTAATGCATCTCTATGACTGCCACTAATTGCGTGGTTTACTTGACATTATTAATAATTATTGATAATGCTTCAATCACTCAGAATTTTTTACAACGGATAAAGATAGAATTGATAGTATGTATACGACAATGTAAACATATTTCCACGTGCCAATTTAGAGAAGAAATCCAGAAAAAATATGCGACAAAGCTGGAAATTATTTCTGGCGAAATAAATTGCCGACAAAAAAAGATCATATTATTAGGATAGTGTAGTCGTTGAAATTTCATAAACGCATCTCGGAATTAATACGGATTTCGATTCGTTATCTCATTAATTTCTGTATGGTTCAGTGTTCATAAGAATTAAATTGAACCAAGAATATTGACTGAAAATTTATTTCTTTTTATTCCTTTTTTCTCAGTGCAGTGCAGTTTTTCTGCATTATAAATGAATAATAGTAAATAAATAATGGATAATTTCCGTTATTAAAATAGCATTTACTGAGAGCAGTGCACCGTTCAAATAATTGCACCTTCGAACATGATTTCCGAAGTACCCATCGTAAATAGACAAGCCGAATGAAATAAATTTCATAAGTGAATCCCCAAGGCCTGTTTGCACCAAACTCTGTTAGCTATTTAAACCCCAGGGTAAATTTGTCCCTGTGAACCCTATGAGCAATCTGGCTGTTAACTGGAGGTGGTGCAGCCGGCCCTTAAAGATTTATAGAGTCCTCGCCAAAATAGATTGACTTCGAGAGAAGTATTTTCTCTCTGCACAGAGGGAAAAACTTCCTTGATGCTAGAAAAGAACTTTCTAAGGGTCAAGAAAATTTTTTTTTGTGATTCTTAAAAAAGTACACAGTTACAAACTATTTTATAAAATATTTATCGCATTTATAGTTCCACTGAATTTTCACGCAACTTCTCCATCGGAAATTTCAAGTTTTCGGTAAATTCCGTGAATTTATTTTTCAATTTTTTTTCGGGAAATTAAATAAATAATAAATAATTGAGGAATTCTCATTTTTTTCATTTCTCAAATTTCATTATTTTTTCTATTTCTATGATTGTTTTAAATAAATGTATTAATTGAAAAAGTTCTTTAGAATCAAGAAAGTCGATCTTTAGCCTCAAGAATTTATTTCCCAGCGTGAAGAAACTTTTTCTCCCTAGGTGTATAGTTCCCTCAACTGGCAGTTTTTGCTGCTACCCCGAGGTCCAGACGTATCCCCTGAATTTTCAATATCGCATGAATTTTTTCGTCAAGTTTTTTCAGTTAAAATTTTCACCATGACCCGCAGTTTTTATTATACATTATCCATCCATTGAATCCCACGCTATTTAATAGCGAACGCAAAAACTAATAATAGAGAAGAATATTCTCCCCTGGAAAAATAATGTAGGCAATGCCTCTGCATTTGGCATGTTTCTTCATCTCTCATTTTCGATTAAAATCCAAAAAAAATGTTGCGTGAAGCTCACGATGAAACTTCGCGGCAGTGCTGGGAAAACGTGAGAGGATTTTCCGACGTGAGTGAATAGTATTTTGACACAGGACATGTGAGGTATTACACGCCTGGTTAACGTATCCCAGGGATGTTATTCTCGCATCGTCTATTCTCCCCATAAGATTTTCTATTTTTATGAAACAATGGGAAACTGATAGAAGTTATTGTTAAATTGATTAACACGAACACCCGGCGTTTTCGAAATTCAATTATCTGGGATTCCCCGATAATTGCTATCAGCAGCTTCGTCAAGCCTAGTCAACGTCAACATCAATCACTATTATCGTCTCCAAGATGCTGATCCTTGATTAAAACTCGAAAAAGAAACTGCGTGAAGCTTTTGCGTTGAAATTTCGCTGCACTCCTGGGAAAATGTGAGAGGATTTTCCGACGCGAGTGTATAATAGTATTCTGACACAGTACATGTGAGGTATTACACGCCTGATTAACAGATCCCGCAGGGATGTCATCCTCCCTATAGCCTATTCTCGCCTATTCCCCTCAGAATATTTTCCACTTTTATTAACAAATGGAAAAATTACAGAAATTATTGTCAAATTGATTAAAGCCAACACCCGGCGTTTTCGGAATTCAATTATATCTGACTGCCCGATAATTGTTATCAGCCCCTTCGTCAAGTGTAGTTAACGTCCCGGAGTTTATAATTATTATCGTCTCCAAGATGCTGAGGGAATTGCGTATGGATTGTGGGGAAAATTGTTTTGACGTTGGAAAGTTTTACCTGGAGATTCTTGAACCTGTGCGATGAACAGAGGGCACTGAGGAAACGGCTCAGGGCGCATGTTCTTCTGCTATCAGTAAGACCAGCATTCAGAGCGCATTCAGACACTGGCTCTCGACCTGTCGTCGCCAGACTTACGCCAATTTCCGATCCTACGCCCATCTGAAAAGTTAGGGAAATAGTAAATAATTGTTTTTCCTTGGGGCATGTCTATTTTTTTCTGTCGTGGCACCAAACTTTTTTATTGAAAATCCAAGGAACTGCACTGGTATGAGGAATAAACTTCACAAATTACAAAATCACGCACGTAATTAATTTTCCGGTGATTTTTTTAGAAGTTGTCGCCATTGTCGGGAGAAAATTCGGAAAACTTTTGGAAAAATTGGAAATTTTTTCATGCAAAAATACAATGTCTCGTTTTTATTTTATTCAAATTATGGGAAAATTAATAAAAGACTTGATCTCAAATGTTAAAAGATCATAAACCTGAGGGATGAATAAAATCATTTTGCTTCTGAAAAGTGTGGGATACTATTGTTGAAAGGCCTTGAATGGATAATGAAATGTTCCATTAGCTGTTGATTTAATTGAGTTCTAAAAACTTGTGGAACTCCATACCCTGTTGAGGGTAGTTACCGTTTTTTATTCATACTTTAATTCTACTACCGTCACGGTTTTATAGGCCGTCCATTTCACCAGATCGTTACGTCTCCTACTCTCGTCTTCATTGCCTTCTTCTTTTTGCGATATTTTACAAGAATTTATCAACACCCGAACGATTTAAAGGCCTTCCAGATAATCCCACGAGTTTCCAAATGATTCCCATACTCATGACAAAGTAATTACTCAATTACTACAAAAACTGCCGTTAAAATGTATTGTTTCCCATAAGCAAGTTGCGAGAAAAAAATCATTCCGGCTCTGAACGACAGAATCTTAATTGCGCTGTTCTATTTTCTACTTCTTTTAGTGAAAAAACTTGAAGAGTTAATTTAGGAAGTCACATGAAAAAACTCGTCTCGTTCAAGAAAAAAAATAAATACTTGAATTAAGTGGAGTCATAATTATTATTAGAATCGTGGGAAAATTAATTCCTCATTGGTATGTATTAAAAATTGAATATAATATAATCAAGGGTAAATATATACTTAAATTAATCTTGAATGGGACGAGAATAAAAATGATTCACAAATTTAGAAACTGTCGGGGAAATTTGTCACGTGCCCTCAAACACTTCCTTGGATAATCGAAATACTTTTGGTCTGCCAAATGCTTCAATTATTTCATTAGTCTCTCCAATGATGTGACAAAATCATTTTGAAGAGCACCCGAATAATTAAGGTTCACTGAGATATCCCCGGATTTTTTTATATACTATTTTTTATATATTTTTAGTTAGTATATTCATCTATATATTTTTAAAAGGGATTAGTTTGAAGTGCTGCTGCTTGTGTGATAATTGCTTCCTCAACCGACATTTCTTTTCGTAAGCACGTTTTTATTACGGAAACCATGAGCGTTAAACACTTTGCCCAATAAACCGATCAATAAGTTTTTAATTTTGAATTCGCCCTCAACCTTTCTGGGGTGTTAATCTCCTCCATGAACAAGGAGTTAAAAATTAATGAATGGATTTAAATGCTGCAACAAAATTTCATGAGATAATGAAAAAAAGTTTATCCAATCAGGAGTGCATGAATAAAAATTCTCAAAATACTGGGATTTCTCAAATATTTATTACTTGTATCTTCTCGTGCAAAAAAATCAATATTGAAGAAAAATCCATTAATCTAATTAATTAAATTTTTTTATAGTGAAATTTATTTAAAAATAAAATTTGGGATTCAATTTCCCACTCAGAGGAAAAATCAAACCTATCCCTCTCTTGATTTTTCTGATTTTTCAAATATAATAATATTTTAGATTTTTATTAAGGATACATTTGAATTCGATCGACTTACGGTAACGATCGATGGTCTAGGTCCTCCAGTAAAATGTTCGATAACTTCCCAATTCGATTTTTTAACAGGTGTATGGGGTGTTCTTGGTGTATTCGGAGAATGTGGGCCAGTGCTGGGAGTTGGTGCTCTTGAATTGGCCTCACGATCCAGTAATAATTCAATAGTCGGTTTTCCTCTATCACCATTAGTCACATGTTGCCGAAGACTCGCCCATCTCCTGGTGCTCTTCACCGATCCCCCGGTCATCGTCCTTGTATCACTGAGTTCTCCCTGCAAAAAAATGAATAATTCCTCTTTCATTACATATAGTGTAATTTTTCTAATAAATTAAAAATTAAACTTCGATACATCTAAAAATAAGGATATGTGAAATGTGTGATAAATATTTTCACACATATTATTTCCATTTTCGCAATCGGACTCAAGACACAAAAAAAAAATTTCCGAGTCATCATTGAAGTACTCCATGACAGTATTTGTTCAGTTATCGTGACGAAACTCATTTTTGAAGAATCCGGGAATTTGAAAAAGTAATGAATGAATGGAATTTACATACGAGAAGAAAAATCATTTGATTTCACCAACGGTTGGCACCGAATCGGAGATGAATTTTGAAAAGGTGACAGAGGTAGACACGTTATAAAAATTGCATTTTCGGCCTTTTTGGGGCGTAATGGATCGATGTAATATAAAAAATACAAAAAAAAACATTTAAAGGATTACAATGCTTCTATTTAAAGGGGAAAATCAGTCAATTCCACTGCTGTCAACTGCTATTCACTGGTTATACAACTGTCAGGGGGTGAGAATCACACGCTATTTTCAAAAGATGAAAGAAAATGAGTCTAATAATCTTTCCGACCCCCATTTTTCTCCCCTAAAAACTCAATCTCGATTACATTCTCTTGGGATAATGAAATTCAATATTTTTTATGAAAACGTATCTCCTCTTCATACTGGAAAGTAGTCATCGCGAAAAAAAAAACATGAAAAAAGTGCAGCAAGAGATGCGATCACAAAGAAGCACCAAACAAAAGCGAGTATCAATTTCAGGTCGTCCAGCCATATTCCTGGAGGCTACGATGGAGAAAAATGCCAGGGGCTGGAGTGGGCGATGGAATAAAGTATAAAGATATCGAGTACATCATGCCACTCCCATCGACGAAAAACAATTCCAAATAAATGCACCCATCTCAACCATGAATTTCATCAATATCACTATTTTTACGTTTTCCTCTTTCATGTTTCCCTCTGTACTCGCTTTCTTCTACTCTCAATACTTTTGTTGTCCGTCCAAAAAGTCACGTCATTAACTGGTTAGAAAAAATTGAGTGGAATTTCAACCTAGCGGATAATGGAATGCAAGGAAAAGTTTCTCGATGTTGCAATAAAAATTTGTCAATGTTGGAAACGAAGTTCCTTGGCTAGAATAATTAATAATATATTTTTTAATGAAAAAATTGTCTTTTTCAATTGAATCCTAAAATTTTAGACGTATGAGATTTATGACGTATTTAATATATTATTTTTAGATGTATGTAATATGTTATTTATTTTATTTATTTAACATAGGAACTGCAACTTTTCGGAACAATATCGAATTGAGTCTTTATTAATGCTAAAGACACGAATGACGGAATAGATGAATTAAATTATTTAATAAAATATTATTGTCTACACTTTTTACTGAAATTCCCGTAGTGTTTTTCCCTTCAGTTTTCATCAGAATCGAGGAATATTGTTCTCCCATTCCACGAGAAAAGAAAATGAATAAACACGAATTCTTTTGATCGGGAGCGTAAATAAAAATAAACTTGATATTCGCAGATGCGAAACCCGACTCGTGGATTCATATCCTCGAATTAGAATACATCTGTGGATTGACGAATAAAATAAATTCAAATCGAATTCCATGGTACCGAGAGTCACACAATTTTTATTGATAAAAAAAAAATTTTTTTACCCAAATGTCGTACGTATGAAAGCATTTACAATACTCCTAATACATATTTACCTACTCGCAAACATGTATTTGACTTGCTGGGGATGCTCTTCTCCTTCATTAATTTTCCTTTTAAAACATAAATAGAAAGAGCGTAGCTGTAAAGAGTCGTATTCAAGGAGCCTTGAAATAGCACTTTAGATGTATTTTAGGCGAATCACCAGTTTGAAATTGCAAGGGAGTGGAAAAGTTTAGAGAGAGTGCCCCTCCGGTGAATTACGTAGAAATTTGTGTTTTACAGAGTCCTGAAAGTGGCAGGCTGCTCAGTAAACCTGAAATGTGAAGGTACAACTTCTTGAAAAGGGGAATTGACCCTTCCGAGCAAATCTTCACGCAAAGAAAAAAATTTATTTCCCTCCAGAAATTTCACTTGCCCATTTCCTCGATTGTACCAAGTTAATTCAGTTTTTCGATTTACTTTCTCCATCCATCATATTACTACTGTTTATCCATGTTTTTTTATTTAGTCTAACAAATTGCATTATCTGTGCAAAAGATGCAGAAGTCGACTCTTAATTTTTCTGAATCGTTATCAATCAATTGTTATAAATAATTTCATCAAAATTAAAAGATATTCTAATAAATGTATTATAATATAAAATAAAATGAAATGCATTTGATATAAACTCAATTATTTTATTTATTTGACGGAAACCTGAGAATTTTCTGTCCCCAAGTGAATTTTCACCCTTTTATTCATCTTCTAACTAATATACTCAGATATCATCGAGATCTTGTAGGAAAAGAAATGGAACTTCATAGAAATAGAAAAAAAAATGAAAATTCCCGAGAATTTAATTCTCCCACCTGCCCCCCCTCCCCTTCTTCTGAAATAACATTGAATAAAGAATCCGTCAACATTACAATAAACTCTTTTATTGAATCCGCCGAGTGGTAAAAAAATGGACATCACTCATAAAGTTTAAAAAAAAAAAGTGGCAACCAATGGAAAAAGCCGTTCTTCACGTGCGACTGGACACAAACGGCTGACATATAAACAGCCCCGTGGACAATTGGTGAAAACAAATGGGAAAAAATGTGGAAACAGCAGTAACATATACCGAATTAAATGAAACAAATTTTCTCAGTGAAAGGCTGGACAGGTTTGTGGGACAGGAATAACCGAAACGAAAAAATAGTTCATCCAGTGTGAACACAAGCACATGTTATTTCCCGACAACACTGCGGTCATTCTGCTCATCACATCTCCCAATGTTCGATACCTATGTACGAGTAGTCTTGGTTATGTGCTGAGTATTCAGCACTTGTGTGTGAGGTCGGTGTTTATATACATTTACTTAATGCAATCACATAAGCAGAACCCTCGGGTGCAACGTCACTAATGAGTAAACAATTTCTATTAGGTCGCCAGTTGCCTATAGTCAGTCGATTGGATTGAGTAATTTTATCCTCATTGTAAATATCTTCGGGGATGATGATTTTAGGGCTGAATTTATTTCTGGAAATTTCAGTCATACACACACATGCACACATAGTGCTCAATCCAAGTCAAATTAGAAAATCTGAAAATCGGACGATTACAAAATTTCCGTTTGCAAGTAAAAATCAGATTGTTTTATTTATATTCCTAACTCCGAATTAAATTTCTATTCAAAATGAAATGAATAAAAATTTGTACGAAAATAGAAATTATTTGCAATTCCAGAGAAAAAAAACGATAGTATTTTTTCAAGTGTAGATTATTTACAGTGCGCTTCGCGTAGAGATATTTATTTAAAAAATTGCATCAATCGTATAAAGCAGGGGAAATTAAAAAATATCACGAAGTAAAATTGAATAAGATCGAATAAAATTTTCCAAAATGACAGATTTATTTCAATTGAAAGTCATACCGAAAAGAAAAATCATCTCGAGTGGATCTCTTGACTGAAGTGAAGAAAGAATTTATCAAGATGGCATTAAGCTGGCCCCTGAGTCACTCCAGTCCTCATGGCTGAACAATGACTGGAAATTCTCCATCATGAATACCTCATTATCCTGATAAGCGTGAAAATGAACGTAAAAAAATTCGCAAAACTCGATGACCTTTACCGATTGAGACAATGAAAATTAATCATATCACGAATAAAAAAAAATTGAGTGTCAGGGAAACGAGGAAATGGGCATACGGACGAGGCAGATGTCTCGATAATCACGTTATCAATTCAACTAGCCGCTCTGAATTCCGCAATTATAACGAGGCACTTGGTAAAATCGATCCCATCTAGATCGAACGCTTCATTTTTCCAAGTCTACGCCCTTGTATTGTTTCCTGGGGATCTACATCTCTATCATAAAGAAGAAGTTCGCTGATGCTCGACGATATTGAAGAATTTCGCAATTTTGAAGCTGAAGACAGTTGGGAAGAATTTCATATTCGATATGACTCTGGTCCATATTTCAATTTTTTCCTCCGAGGTATTTTATCCCCCGTTGTAAGTTATTATTTTTTGTCTTTCAATTTTTTTTATCGAAAGAAATTCCGCAAGGTAAAGTCTTGCCTTCCGAAGTATTCCGTATTCCCGCAATTTATACTCAAGGCTGCAAATATTTGAGTATTCCTTTAGATTATTTCATTGTTTCAGTAGCAAATCAAGTATAAAATTCACTTGAAGTAAGTGTATTATCACGCTTGTTTCAATTTTACCGTGTACTTTTTGCGAAATTTTTTGTAATCACTTCTTTTTCGTGCGTACAATTTTTCATTCGTTTTATCGATTGCTGTGCAAAATTTCAGTCATTTCCCGGTGAATTTATAATCTCGGAGTACGTAATGGATTCTCGATCATAAGTGATATTCTCGTAGCTATCCCACGCGCCTTCGATTTACCGAGTGAACAATTGGTACTCGTTAGCGTTGGTACGTACTGCGTAAATCGATTCGCCTACCCATCGTGCAGGGCTATATTAACGCCCACCATCGCAATATTGTGACCACTAGAAAAATATTAACCCAAAAAATTGTCAATAAAGCGCCGATTTTTTTTTGTAACAGAGCTACTTTCATCGTGTCATTTCACCAATTATCAGTATGATTCGGGATTTCAAATTCAATCAAAAGTTTTTTGGTTGTTTTTTCTTTTTTTTCATTGAAAAGTATAATCTAAATGAAGGAAAATAAACAGGCGGGGGTCTCTATCTCAATGATTGGCGGAGATATCAAAGTTTTGTTGTTTTATCCTCTAAAATGTTTTCTTAAATTGAATTAAGAGATGTTATAGGACAAAAAAAACAAACCCATAGCTTTCGTCGAAAATTTTCTTAGCTTTAAAAAAAATATTCTTTTTTATGTATCTACACATAAAAATAAGTTTTGCTACGGCGTACTCGAAAAGAAAATTTCAAACTGCCATTTGGGTTGTTCCCCAGGATTTTTATTTTTTTGTTCTCTTCCATTCTTAAAAGTTCAGAAAAGTATTTTTAACGACAATATATTTTTAAAGAACGTTAAACCAAGTGTTGTAGTGAAGTTATCTAGGAAATACCGAATCCATTTTTTTTCTTTTTCAAAATGATTAAGCAGATGAGCTTCTTCAAAATGGAGTCAATTATTGGTAATGAAAAATGAAAAAACACGGGTTCTTGACGCATTGGATAGGGGATTTTTGTAATGCTTTCTATTACGTTCACCACTCGACGAACGAGAAACGACTCTAATCAACTTATCGTACGTAGCTTAATCGGGTTCAGACTTATCAGACGAGGACGAGGTAGTGACTCCACCGTTCTAGGGTTTTCAGTCCTGAGTACATCAAGCCCACGAGAATTTACGAACACAATTTTTCTCTCGTAATCGTGAGCCATCTTCCCTCTCCTGAAATAGAATTTGTTATTTGTCGAGTATTTGAGAAGAGACGGAATCGATTCAAGTAGTATGATTCTTCTTGAAACTCGATGTTCAATGCACGAGAATAAAAATAGATGTTATCGAGAGAAAAAATGGATTTCATGTTTGAGAATTTTTTCCTCTGAAGTATTTACTGAGGATTTATGATAACGATAAGTATTGTATTTTCAAATGAAAACCAATCCTCCGATTGATCTTGTAATTCGCTAGATCAATTCAAAATCTACTTCACTTAATTACGCGACTATACAATTTTTACGTTGCCCTGCACTGAAATTTTCAAATACTCATTCCATTTCCATTTATGAATTGATGGAATATCTGATCCAAAATAGGGAAGAGTAAATAAGAATAAGGGAAATAATCCATGATATTGAATTTTTTAATCAACATTCAACTGATTCAATGATTATCGAATTATTGAATTAATCAATGGCAATATCAGGTTCATAAATAATTGAATTGGTTTTTTTTTATCGAATTGAAACGTGAGTTGATGGTGTGGAATGCAGAAAGACTCGATCCAATTTAAACATTTGCTGAGCGTCGTCGACTGAGGAGACATTCCGTGAAATAATCATCTCGCGAGGTCCATCTCGGTTGGTGTTTTTTCAGGAACACATGTGCAATCAAACTAGAAATCGATAAGGATTGACAATTAACGGTTACCTGATGGCTCCTTCGGCTTCCCCGCAGACTCAACCGCTGGCCCCAATCCCGTTTTGGCAACTCTCCGCACTTCTCCATCTCCTTTTCAACCACTGGAATTCTCCTTATCTCCTTATTTTCAATTTCAACTTCTCTTTTTATCTTCACTTTAATCGTACCAATCCGAGGGCCAGTCGTGGCTTCGTACTGACGTTTTCGGTTACTCCATTATTCCCGGTCCCTAGAAATAGAAGAGAGACAATTGCTCGTGAATAAGTTGTCATGCTCTTATTCCGGATTACTCCCATTGTTTATTTTTATGCTTCATTTAATGTTCAGGGTTGGATGTTGACAACTGGTTCAAATTAAAGTTTGACTCTTAGGTACTAAATATTTATCGGCTCGTGAAAACTCACGGTCTTTAATGGTGGAACTCGCGGTTTTTAAATTGAGGATTCAATTCTTAAAATTTTGGGATTTTGGATAATCTGGAAATTTCAAAGACAAATTTTTATATTAAAAAATTTTTTTAACTCAAGAATTTCACGAGGGTGAGGATTCCATAATTAATTTTTATTTTCAATGAAATTTGAAACTTCTGATTTTTTTCGGATTAAATTCTATAAATTTTATTGGAAAATTAATAAACCCCAGAATTTGTTTCGCATTGGGTTTTTACAGATATATATCCTTGAATCTAAGAGAATATCAAAATTTTCGTCAAGTCCTTTCTGCACAGTGGAGTTTGCGCTATAAAAATATATATAAAATTTTATCATCTCTCTTAGATTGAGACATATCTCTCGAAAACTCCCTTGTGTGGAAAATCCACTTGCTCCCATTACTTTTTATAACTGTTTTATTTCCCCCTGAATCGAATTGAGTGATCCCCTAAAAGGAGTAAAATATTCCCTGAAAATTATGTATTTTTTCCACAGCGAAATATGACTGAGGATAATTTACCCGATTCCCTTACAAACCTGAGAAACTTTTAAAGCGATCGGTAATTTCTATATCTAATTTTCCAAGTAATTCCCATAATTGTTAATGAATATTTCAGGAAATTAATTTTGTTTGTAACGGTATATTACCAACGACAATCACTCAGGAGCGGAAAAAATTCCCAATGAACTGACGTACCATCCAGTGCTCCATTTGCGTTAAATAACAAATGGAGGAAAAAGTTGTTCCCCATGACCTTCTCCCGCCTTATCTTTGGTTTTTTACATTTGGTGTATACATTCTTAGTTATCTCATTAGTAAGGAGAATCACGCCCGTGAGATTACACGGGAAAAGCTGAGAAAAAATTCCAAGGACCTTCTCCTAAATGATGTATTACCATGCTATTTACGAAAAAAGGAATGCCCTGGTTTTGACGCCCTCTTTGCAGAGATAAGTGGCGTCCTGAATTTTCACGAAGGGGTGAATCTAAATTACCTACCCTCTAAACCTGCGAGAGAAACGCAAGTACATGAGAAACCATAGAGCAATGGCATTTATGTTACTTGAAAAGAAAAATAGCAAAGAGGCGAAAATTCACGGTTTTCCCTCGCGGTGTGAAAAAAAAAATTTCCCCATGAATTTTTAACGGGCCAGAAGAATAATGAACTTTTATTCTCATTAATTAACTTCACTCCAACCGGGAGAAAAATAAAACTCTTGTTTCCTTCGGTGAAGGCATTTTTCCCTCACTGGAAATAAAAATGTAAATTTAATTAGAGGTTTTTTTAGCGTCTGAAGAAATACGGGTTTTGTGGGAGAGAACATGTTCTCTCATTTTTTCATAAGCCGCACTGTAGTTGAATTCAACCCTTTGGGGATGGCAACAATGCGTCGAATTTTTAGCAAGCATTAGGAGAATGTTATGAGAATAATTCACAAAGAAATTTTCGATGAACAATTTCATTAAAAGTTCATGAGAAGTAAGTGGAAAAAATTCATTCTGACTCCAGTGGTCTTTGGGGTGCAGTCATTTTAAGAATTTTCTCCGCACGCTTTTCATGTAATTTTCTATTTCCCGTCATATTTTGAGTTTTTAATTTTGAGCAAAAAATAGCCTGATGCAGTGAAATGAGAAATGCTTAAATTACCTAGTTGAGGTAAACGTATATTTTAACTCCCCCATAAGTTTTCAGCAACCAGTCGTGTCCTCTTATTTTAAAAAGAAAATGAAGAGAGAAGTGAGGCAGAAACATCAAGGAGATAAATACATCGATAAATACTCGTGAGGTAAAATCTGGTGTCCCTGATATTCCGCGACTCCCACCCCCTCCATCACAGTTTCCACGACCAGTGAGTGATATTAATTCGATAATTTTAATTAGCTCCAAAAGGGCAGCAGCAGAAAAAGTTAAATTTAGATTCTGGTGAAAGTGTTCAAACTTTTTGAGAGAAATCCATCTTTGTTATGAAATGAATCAATATTAACCCGAAATGCGAAATTCTTCTCATTTTGTCATTTCACTTCTGAATTATCATCTCTTCACCGCTCAGACATCGGCGAATCCCTTAAATACGCAATGAAACCTCAAATTACGGGAGTCTTTTCACCCTTAATCAAATTAAGCATCTCCCCTGAAAATTATTCCTGAACTTTCTCTGAAGTTTCAATTTCCATCCAACCGTGATCGCCCCTTTCCGCATAAAGGAACATTCCTCTCATCACGGCCAATTATTTCGCAAAACATCGAAAGACAAATGTAATCTCAACCGTTTTCATTTAATTCCCTCCCATTTCTGTGACTCCATTTCGTTATTTTTATGGGAATTAATCGGAGATATGGGTGGGAGGGACACAAAAAAAGTATTGTCGAGTGCCCTAAAGCCGTCTCGGTATAGAAACAGTGACTTGATTAAAGGCGATTAATTCCCTCCAGAGGGTGACGCTGAGATTAATTACCCGAGGACACGTCGGTTAGACCCCCAGTATATTCGCCATTATCTCAAGCGAAAATCTCATTGTCATTACGAAACGGAATTTAATTACACGTCGAAATTCTTTGGTTGGAATTTTCAGTACAATTCAATATTTTTATTGCATAGATTCCAGAGGTATTCAATTTTAAAACCCGTGAAAATGTTGAAAAGTCAATTGTCTTTCAAAAAGTCATGTTGAATTTCATTTTTTTTGGGATCGTCACTTATTATGGAACCTGAAAGACCCGATTGTCTGGAATTTTTAAGATAAATGAGAGATTCAGATGAATAAGAAATTTGTGATTTGTTAGAATTGATATTTAATTCAAATTTACATAATTAAAAATTCAGATATCTTGGTGATTCAAATTTCAAAAAAAGAAATAATTTTTTCCATGGATTTTTTAGGGGGTGTTTTGTTATGGAATTCTCTCCGTGAAAATCCAAAAAAAAACGACATTCATCAAAAAATTCATGAAAAATGCTGAAGCCTCGTTTTGGTGGCCCAGAAATACAAAACATTTTTGACTATGGATAGGGGATTCAATGGAGCTCTTGTCGGATCGTAAAATATAACAGTTATGTCGGGTGTTACACTCCGGCACTTTCTCACGAGCTTTATCTTGCTGTCATACCAAGGATAGCTATCAAGCCAAGTTTCAATTTCAACGAGACCGTTACAATCCCCTTCAGCAAGATTGTCCAGGCGTTTAGAGCCCAAGGGGTTTTTCTCTCGTTTTTTCCATGACACGCGGCACCAACATGCGGGAGTGAGGAATACTCTGGATAAACTGTTTTTTATCGAGATAATCCAGGAATCGAGGAATTTTTATTTTGCACGTCGACATTAGTTTTAGGACTGTACTTGCGGTCGTTCCACTGGCTGAGAATATTGTTTTAAATTAATCCTCTTCTACCCTAGATTTTTTAACTCTCATCTCATTTTTTTGTCCTGCAAAATTTGAAAATTACTCTTAACAGTTCGAGGAAAAAAAACTGAAAATTTTCAACGATTCGTGGTTGATGAATCATTTAATTTCGGGAATATCCTGGTAATTATCAATTATCAGGTCGATAAACTAAAAAAATTGAAACTTCAAACGAATTTTCCTGAATTGTGAATATTTATAAAATCATTAATATTTTTCATGTTGAATTTTCATGAAAGTAACATTGATTATTTTGTGAAAGTACTTTGAGAATACTTTGAGAATAGAAAATGAATGAACCTTGGCAGTGTGAACTTCATCAGATTTTCGTTGTCACCCTCGTCAAGACTGACATCCATTATTAGTGTGAGATTGTCTAGCTCCGTACAGTAAACGCAGGATAATGTTAAATAAAAATTGCATAAAGTTCTTAAGAAGCCCTACGCAAGGTTCTCTACACAACCACTCAGAAGCCAACCTGATGCTCCCACGCGTCTTCCAGCCATGTCCCAACTTACACTCCAGTGATCATGTACAAGAAAAAAATTCAATAAAAATTCGGAATCTATTTAAAAAAAAAAATATTCATTAGACATGACAAGTTATACAGAAAAAAATGTAATTGATAATGAATTTTCGCGTTTGCAACAAAAGTCTCGTTTGCGTGGATGAAAATTCGTGGACTAGTTGTTATAAACGTCAAGAATAATCTGCATACGGGACCATCACTCTCTAAAACTCCTGAAATCGTTGACTTGAGAATGAAAAATAGGACGAATTCCTGTTAACCACAACCACTCAGCAATTCCCCGGTAAATCCAGTTGGAAACAACGTTGAAAATTTGATAACAGAGAATTCCCTAACATTGGCTGTGGTCAGTAGACAAGAGCAGCTGCATCTAGGATTACCCCGTAAAATTAATGAAGTTTATAATTAAAATTTGAAACTCCATTTTTTGCGGATGTCTCTCCAGAAATATTTAGTTTCAAAATTTTGTTATCCCAGTGGGAAAGGTGATACAATCAATTTGGGGTTGAATTCCCGGGTTCGATGGCTCTGAGATTAATTTGAGCCGGAAAGTAATCAACCAGTGAGAGTGCAAGGGGCATATCGCAGAAAGGTGAGACACGGCAAAGAGCGAATTGGGTTAATCAAGACAGACTGGTGAAATAACGATAATAACGATAACGAGGGAATCGCGGGTTCACGGTAGGTATTACCTCAGTCAAGGAGAGGAAAGGAGACGAGAGACTAGAGGAAAGAGGAAAGTTGCTCGATCACGCACACCAACTTCCTCACTTTATCCCTCAACATTAAAACTCGAACATTAATGCAACTATGACGGTTTCATTCGCCGCTGAATTCCACTATTTTGTCTGATTTGGCTTTATCAA